TATGATTTTCATTATTAGCCTAAAGTTATGTTTCTGGATCAGAGAATTATTTCTTCATAAACTATGAGAGTCTCTGTCCAATGAGTCATTCTGTGACCCAGCAGTGGGGACAAGCTCGAGAAACTCAAATATCTTATTTAGACTTTGAGGGTGGATTCAGAAAACTCTGACAGTGAAGGGTATTTCAGGAGAGAGTTCTTCCAGCTAACAAGCCCTCTTTCTCCTCAGGGCCTGTCAGGAAACTGGTGGAATGACCGGCACTCCCAACATCATGTAAAAACAAACGTCTATCCCAAAGACCCGGATATCAACATGGGTCCTCTTTTTCTGCTTGGAGATTTGCAACCTGTCAAGGTACACTTAGAAATCCTGGTAGCTGAGCAATGCTCCTCGAAATGGTTCCTGCAAAGGCTGACCTTTGGCCTTGCCTTGGAAACATCAAGCTGGAAGTTCTGGCTTCACATATGATCTGGGAACATCGTTCCTTCTTTTAGGTCCAAAATATAGACTTGAAATAACCGAACCTGGGGTTGACTATTTGGAATCATGACTTATGGCTTTAATGGTCATCTGGCCCAACCTCCTGCTCCAGGAATGAGAGTACCCACATAACTCTGTTTGGGTCACCCAGTGACAATGGGTCCCTGCCCAGTGCCTGTCATTACCTCTGAGGCAACACAAGCCAGGGATAGATAGTGGATCTAGATGAGTGAGTTTGGCAGTGACCGTCCAGAGTTTAATGAGGATATGGAGAAATGTTCACTGAGAGAAGACAGGACAGTACGTTCTATAAGCACTAGATCACAAATATCTAAGTATCTAGTTATCTCAACCAGTTCTAGCACAGTTAGAAGAGTCTATACTGTTATATTTAATTCATGTTCATTTTGGTGCATTTATACATAAACAACAGCCTAAATCTCTTGTAACACAACTAGAGATGCCAGCTCTAATTCGAACTTCTTAAACAACAGAAAATGGACAAGAAAAGTCATCTTCAAAATTTCTCAGTGATTGTTTTTTTTTTAACTTCAACTTAAAACTATCATGTAAAGGACTATTTAAATTACCAAGTTTTTTGGGGAAGGAGTGTTCCTTAAACAAAGGAGATATAAGGATAACCAAAGAAATGCATCTCTCCTCAAAGAGAAATGCTGGGTCCTGAATGTCAGGTCCTTACAAAGAGGTTGCTACCTCCTTCTGGAAAAACTTAGGAGATTTATAAAATAGAAGAGGTAGCTTTGTCAGTTGTTCTCTGGGTGTATGTGGTACGGAAGTGGAAAATCCTGAAACTTTTTGAAAATAGGTTTTCCCAGTTTGGAGAGACTCACCGTCTTCTCCAGCTGAAGTAGGAAACAAGGTCTCTTGTTTCAATTTAAAAAATAAATTGTTGACTGTGATCACAAACTATTTGCATTTGACAATGGCTCCCCAAACAAGTTGGACTTCCCTGATGTTCGTGCACTTCTAGGCTTGTCACTAGAATTGTGACACGTTGATTTCTCTAGTTGTTCCCCCACTGCCCAGAGCAAGGGAGGTTGTACCACTACAGTTCCTGAAGCAGCCTGGCTCTCTCCGCATCTGCCTTCCCCAGAGCTACGTTCACTGCACCTGCTGCCTCTTCACAGATGCAGGAGGCCCCTCTCCAACTTCTGCATCTGCTCCAGGGACACATGCCTATGACCTTAGAGTTCTGTATAATATAATTCAAAGCCATTGTACAGGACATTGTTTATACTCTATTTAAATGCTAAAATTATTTGGATCCTAAAATTCAGCAGTTTCTCATCAAAAACATTTCTGATGAGCCCTGAGTTTTCCCTTCCTTCGCCCTTACTGCCAGTCTTTCTACTACTTTCTTCAGACATTAATTTCTTCAGTAAATGTTTATTGAATTTTCTATGTCCTGAGCTCACATCCTGAAAGACTTGGAATCCTCCTTTGAAGTGATAATCACAATCAGACCAATCATTTTCTACCTAGTCCCTTTTCCATATTTCCCACTACTGAAAATTTGGAGATTTGGGAGTAACTCCAAATAGCTATTATGACTTCATCGCCATAATAGTTCTTATGATTTTTGACAATAAGAGAAGGCAGGACCAACTGTGCCATCCAAATAAGAGAAGAAATCTATCCATATGAGGGAACTTATCAAAGAAATAAGGGAAGCAAGAGTAAAACACTGCTTATAGCATTGCAACTGAGTGAGCACAGAGAAAAATATGGAATGGGTGTAAATTATCATTAATTCATTAATTCCTTCAATAAACATTTATTGAATGTCTGCCGAGAATTGGAGCTATAACCATTAATTCTATCCTCCTCTCAAAGCATTTTCTGTCTTTGTGCCCTGACCACAAGCCAAATTAACCAAGGGGACTGTTAGAAAAAGAAATCAAATTCTCAGTAGTGAGTGTAACATAATAATTACATTATTATATATAATAAATAATTTTATATGACATATAATAAAAATGTATTAGCATCATGCCTTAAAATAGTAAATCACAGTGTGAAATCCATGATGAGAACACAAAAGAGGAAAGATGGGACAGATAGGAGAGGGCCATGCCTATATCTTTTATCATATGACCATTTGGGAATGAAGATGAAGTCTGATTTACAAGCAGAATACTAAATACCACAGTTGAAGAAGAGCTAGAAAAACTCATTAGAAATGTTCCTTTTCAGTCAACATTCCACTTCACATAAGGGGAAAAAATTTCAAAACTATTTCCATGAGAATAAAAAAAAATGATCACAATCCCACAGTCAAATAATCATAATCCCCATAATCTACTCATGAAAAGATTGCCCACATTTAATTAAACCAAAAACATGCCACAATATTTCCTCCCTTCCCAGTACTGGTTCTTCTAGTTCCTCAGGTTTGACAGCTAACAAAAACTGATTAGATGGCTCTCTCCACAGAGATTTTTTTATTATTATTTTTATTTCAGAATATTACCAGCGGGTGGGAGGAGGGAAGAGGGGATAGGAAAATTCACACCTGACGGGTGCGGCATGCACTGTCTGGGGATGGGAACGCTTGTAGCCCTGACTTGGGTGGTGCAAAGGCAATTTATGTAATCCATAGAGATATTAAACGCACACTGACACACACATGCACACACACACATATGTGCTTGAGTGTGATGAGCAGAAGTGTTTTCTCCTATTTTAGTTTTTTTCCTCTCTCCATTTAGTACGGCAAGAAGAAAATCAAATACATCGACTACAAAAAGCAGCACCTGTACTTCTACATGGGTGAGTCTGCCAGAGGCACTGTCCTTACCATCCCATTTTCTTGAAGCGAGCACTTGTCAAGCCGGAAGGCTGGCTGCAATTCTCTCCCAGAAACCTACCGTGTCTTACTGGTACTGAGAAAAGCAGCGTGTCTTGTTTCAGACTCACTAAGGTAGAAATCTGCAAAGGGAAATGGAAAAGGAAATAGGGGTTTTTAACCAGCATCTCCTCACTCTGTGGGATGAGCAGGGAAGGAGGGAGACGCCCCAGGAGGGAGGGAAGGCGGCTGCCAGTCAAGGGGACCTGCACCTGGGACGCTCATCCTGGAAAGACGGAACACCTGTCAAGAGAAAAGGAGACGGGTATTTGCGCAGGGAGGGAAAGGAGATGGGAAATAATCCTGAAGCATTTAGTGTGACAGCAGAGAAAGGAGAGGCCCAGGAATAAAAGGCAGCTCCCACGACCCTGCGTGGAAGAAGGCTGGCTGCCCCATGGCCTTCCAACAGCTGTAGAAGGCATGAGACTGACGTACCTGAGTGTGAACACGTAGGCCAGGCCTGAGAGAAAATAAGGTAGCTGAGTAATTCTGATGCCAAGAAAAGAACATCATGAGCAAAAAGGCTTTGCTCTTAACAAAATCAAACTCCTGGCAGCTCACAAAGAGAGTTTTCAAGGAACCCCAAATCTGCCCATCTAAATGTGCAACACACTTGGGAAATAAACCAAAATCAGGGGAGGAAACAAACATTTGCTGCGGGCCACTGGTTCTCAACCAGGGACAGTTTTGCCCCCTGGGGAACATGCGACAGTGTCAAGAGTCATTTGTTGGTTATCACAACACAAGGGGGGTGGTGCTGATATCCAGGGGCCAGAAGCCAGGGATGCCCTGTAAACATTCTACAATGCACAGGATGGCCCCTCACAGCAAATAATCATCTGGCCAAAATGTCAGCAGTGCTGAGGTTGAGAAACACTGGTGCAGGTGATCTGATTTGCCCAAGTGTCTGCCACTAGGCGCCACCTGTGACGCGCCTGAGGAGGATGGTGGTGGGTGAAGTTTTTGAAAGGTGGGGCCGACCGTCCCTGCTGGCTCCTCCACAGCTGGAATCGAGCCTCCCCCACCCAGCACTCCTCCCTGCTCCTTCTCTTGCAGGAACGAGGACATTGGTGCCCCATTCTGAAAGGTAACTGGTCCCCAGCCTAAATAGATGTGCATTTGCACAAGAAAAATCTGTTGGAGTTTCTTTAATGAACTTTGCAGAGAAATGCGTGTTTACCTACCCTGTCTGCAGTGGTGCAATATGCCCTGAGCTAATGAGGAATGAGTGAATGGTGTGGATTCACTGCAGAATGCCCACCGCACAAACCACACTGCCCCCCAAGGGCTGTTTCACTGGGGCCTTCCCCTGCAAATGCCAGTTTAGCATCTTGGGTGCGAATGAGTCCTACTGAAACTGTCAAAGAGAAAGAGAACTGGACATTTATTAAAGGCAGCAAGATACATTTTATTTGTGCTACTACAGTAGGGGAGAGAGATATCAGTATCAGGTGAGCTTAATTCTAATGAAACAAAAGGTGGGAGAGAGGCTGTTTACATGCTGGGGCAAGCTAAAGAAAAAGTACTGAAAGATGTTGGGGGTTGGGTAGGGGTGGGGGAGTTGGTCCATGTGATTAGTCAGGCCATTTTTTCTGCTGACTGGGGCTTATCGAAGTTGGGCTCCTGCCCTCCTACAGAGACAGGGGGACAGAGTCCGTGTCCTTCTTGACAACTACATCTCAGAGGGATGGCTCTCAGTTCCTTGAGAAAGACATTTCTGGGTTATAGAAGATATATCTCAAACCAAGAGAGGAAGGATTTGCAATTGTAAGTTTTCTAAAGTAAATGCTCTGAGAAAAAGAGGTCACGTGCCTATAGTCAGGTTTGGACTGGAATAAACACTAAATTCTTTTGGCAGCCTTGGGCTCTCTCAGGCAGAAACTTAAAGGGGGCTGGAGTCTTCCTAGAGACAGGGCATTGAGCTTTTAGAAACTATGCTAGTGTTTGTTCAAGTTTCTTAGAGTGAGGGTGTATGGAATCATTTGTGCTGAGAGTTTGCAGTCCTCACAAGACAACATTGAGACCCTGTCCGGGAGAAGAGGGTTCAGAGGATCCCGACTAGAGTTTGGCCAAGGAGAGAGTCTTTGTTGAAAGCCAGAGGGTTTCCGTAAGACTCCTGTGAGACCTGGGCAGCCTCGATGGTGCTGGGAGAGACGCAGGTAAATCACTCTTTGGCCAGGAAACGAGCACACCTTCTTTATTTCTGCCACCCTAACATATTGTGACAAGGCCCAATCCTAAGAATGTTGGGAGACTGAAGGACTCCAAGCACCTTCAAAAAATTTGAAAGCTCAGAGCAGAAGTTCTTTGGAGATGCCTCCATCAAAAATGACTCAAATCTTCAAAGCTTCCCTAGCCTCTGTGATGGAGCTAGAACCTGGAGCTGCTGACCAAATTCCTGGGTCACCTGGGATCTGGAAAGTGCAATGGAGTCCAGGACGTGGACTTGCGTCCCTTCCCAGGGCTGGCACTCCAGGAGTGGCACGAAAAGGAGATAGACTCCTGCTGACTTGCACTGGGGTCACATTCTGATCATTTATTCACCATGTTTTTTGTTTCTTTTCAGTTGGGCTCCCCCTCCTCATGCCTGCATATTTCAACGCGAAATCCATGGAAATGATGTACCTTAGAAAAGACTGGGTGGTGAGTAACTTGGCTCATTCTCTGAAACCAGACCAGCTAGAAGAGAGAAAATGAAAATGCTTGGACCCCTCCAGACATGGCTTCCTTGGGTAACAGGGCATAAGATTTAGCCAGTAGCTGAAGCGACCCCGGGCCAATGAAGAGAAAATGAAATTATGTTCAGGGCATCTAACTTTCAAGTGCTTTTCTCTGCAGGACATCGCCTGGGTTAGCAGCTTTTATATCCGACATTTCATCACATTTGGCCCTTTCTATGGAATCTTTGGAACCCTATTGCTCATATATTTGGTCAAGTAAGAACAATCTCTTATTACCATAACCCAGGTGGCCCTCTTACCTTCCTTATCAGAGCTATTTGTCTTTAGCAGAAGATGATGACACCATGCCCCATTTCCTAGAACTGAGGTGTTTTCAAGCAAATACGAAAAAAAATAAAAAACAATTTAAACAGATGAACAAGACAAGCTCCTTGCAAGAATATTATCCTGATATCCATTTTTTCCCACTGGCTTCATTCCCAGTTGAAGCATTTCAGTGAATGCCCAAGTCCCTTAAAACTGTAATTTATTAATAGTTAGATATCATAATCTCTAGCAAAGGTAATGACAGGGCAGGATTTTTTAAAAGTTCTTTTATGACTAGACATTTTCCCAGACCCAAAATGACCTCAGACTATTATTTCTGCCTGAATAGCCCTTTCCAACTTTCCAATGTATTCCTCCCTCATTCTTCTAAATCCTAAATAATTGTAAGATACCTACTATGCTTCAGGCACTTTGTTGAAGGCTTTACACACATTATCTTATGTGATATAATCCTCGCACAACACTGCAAGGTAGATAGTATCATCTTCATTTTTCTGCTACAGAAATTGAAGTTCAAAGAGATTAAATTACATGCCCGAAGGTATATAAGAGAAAGCTAGGCAAAGGCCAGTGCCAAGACAGAACCCAGCTCCATCTGGGTCTGCTTTGCATATGCCCTGAAGTTTCCCTGGAGTCTGTAATCTTTTCACCAGAGCTACAGAAAATTTAAGAGGCACAGCTCTAGATGTCTGGCAGCAGGGCATGTCAAGTGGCTGAATGCTTAGTGTGTCATCTCTAGTTATAAAAGACATAAATGGCTTTCAAAGAGGAAAAAGAATGACCACCATTTTACTCGAACCTTTGAGCCCTTTTCATTTCCTCCAATCCTCAGCCAGGTCTTCCAGGTTTTATGCAAGCCCAGTAATGTGGTTGCTACTGAAAAACCCCAAAGTGTCATCGCCTCCTCCTTTTATTCCCCTCAAGGTTTCTTGAAAGTCCCTGGATTACATATGTTACCCAGATGAGCCACATACCAATGAAAATGAGCATAGAGGAGAACCAGGACTGGCTCAGCACTCAGGTAATGGCGGAGGGAGAATCCTTCAAACCACACTGATTCAGAATCTGGTCACCTCAAATGATAATGACTCCCCTTCAAGAGTATGTGCCATGGCAGGGCCAGGGACTGTCAAGTGCTCCACATTTATCTGCATGAGGTATTATGTAATCATAAAAATGTATGATTATTCTTACTTTACAGATGATAAAATTGAGGCACAAAGAAGTTGCATAACTTACATAAAGTCACACAGCTAAGTGGGTGAAGCAGGTTTTAAATCTAGGCAGTTTGATTATAGGTCTTTTACTCTAAACCAAGGGTCAGTCAGCTCCACTCCAGAGGCCAAATCCAGGCCACTGCTTGTTTTTGTAAATAAAGTTTTATTGGAATGCAGCCACGATCATCCATTTAATACTCTTTGTCACTGCTTTCATGCTGCAACAGCAAAGTTGAGTAGTTGTGAAAAATTTAAAACATTTACTAACTGTTACTTTATACAAGAAGTTTGCTGACATGAAATCAATACATGTGGACATCAGAATGATGATGCCATTGCATGTTTAGTAGCCCCTGGAAAATTCCACTGTACAAGCATGAGAAAATGAGAATTAAAAGGCAGATAATCTCTTAGAAGTGTTATGGAAGTAGTTTCAACCTTATAGATTTCATTAAGGCATCCTGGGGAACCTCAAGATTCTCTGAACTACACTTTGAGAAACACTAACATAGAGAAACAGTAGATACAGCATTCAAAATGGCAATAACCCCAACTAGAATAAAACCTTTAAAAAAATTGAATAAAATGATATTCATAAGGGTTTTTAAACTTGGCAGCATAGAGAAGCTATGAACTCCTACTCAGGATAATGTTTTTAATGCATAAAACACAGCACGAAAGATTACAAAGGAAACTGCTCAAATTGTAATGCACTTCCATGCACAGAACCCTTGGATAGAAACTTTGAATGCCTTACTGCTCCTTTAGAACTCCTTCAATTCCACTCTGTGAAAATGATATTCTATCCCTGCGATCCCTTCCACACTCCTACAACCCTACTTCCATCTGCCAACATCCTCATTTATGACACCTCAGTCTTCCATGTCTCAGGGTTGATGGTGACTTTTCCCCCTCAAATCCTACATACTTTTTTATATAGATTGCCTTGTATGTACTTCTTAGCAAAACATCTAATTTCCTTTTTGAATTATAAGCTCTTGAGATTAGGGACTCTGTATCTTTTATATTCCTCATAGTTTCTTACGTAAAATAGGTACCAGTAAGAACTCGTCAAATGATTGACTAAACAGAAGAATAAATAAACATTTTCTCTGTTTGACACTTGGGATCATTCATATCTAATATAAGCCTTTTCTTTGCAGGTCTCGGCCACCTGTAATATTGAACAGTCCTTTTTCAATGACTGGTTCACAGGGCACCTGAACTTCCAAATCGAGCACCAGTGAGTAATAGAAATAGTCCATGACAGGGGCAAGGGTGGCCACTTATAACAACCCAAATACAGTCCAGAGCAGAGCCTTAGGCTCAGGGTCTCAGAGGGGAAAAAACGATCGAGGATTCTCTAAAGGTTGCTATCTTTCTATCAGCATCAATGGTAAGGGAGGGAAGAAAGACAGGAAGGAAGGAGACATTAACAATTCTGACTATGCAGTGGAATCTTGGAAAAGTATCAGTGACTCAGTTTCCAGACACCTACAGACTTAGGAATTTGTGATTGTTTCCTATGTATTTGGTTTATTGGTGAAATCCAAGAAAAATCACACCACTTGCATAACCGAGTTGTGTTGAAATTTAATTAGAACTTAAATACCTGTCTCTTTAGAGCCAAAGTTACAAAATAATCAAAATGAAACCCAGTCTCTGATGCAATTTCCAAATGGTATAATACTTCACCAGTGGGTCAGTTATGTGGACATGCAACAGAGAAAGAGAAAACGATGACACTCTGAGAGCCAATCTCTTTAGAATATTCAGGGGAGGGACTTTTCGCATCCTTTTCATCTAAGGCACATCTGGGGTAGTCAGAGAAGAAAAGAGATCTTTTACCTATGCACAGGGTTCTCCCATCCTTTCTTTCATGTTAGTCCTTAAAAACCTCAGAAAACAAGAAAGCATTGTTATTATTCATATTTTGTGAAAGAGGAAGTTAAAACCCAAGAAGGTCACCTGGCTGATTAGTAGAAGTCTTTAAGATAAGATAATATTATCTTATTCCTATCCTAAGATTTTCCGTATATATCATGACTAGAACTTATTTAACACGCATCTATTCATGGGGTAGGAGTTAGATGGATAGAGAGAAAGAGAGAGACGGAGATAGGGGAGGGGATATCTCCAGCTCTCCGAGGTAATTCAAAATGATACACAACCCATACCTTCATTTGACCTGGCCAAAAATATTCCATAGAGATAATATTTATTATATTAGCATTGTCCAAACATTTACCACCCACGGAGCTTGCAGAGGTGTTAAGAGATAAGATTAGACAATTTTAGCAGGAGTTTTTGAACTTCCCAGAAGCATTGTGCAAGGTCAAGGTTGGGTCTGCATTGGTGTTATAATTTTATTTGGTAATAGAGGAAAGAAAAGTCCTTTGGGCTTCTCTTTAGGTCTAAGTTTTATATTTCCTGTTTCCCTAGCCTGTTCCCCACAATGCCACGCCATAATTATCACAAAGTGGCACCTCTGGTGAGGTCACTCTGTGCCAAGCACGGATTGCAGTACGTGAATAAGCCCATGCTGAAGGCGTTTGGAGATATTGTCAGGTAAGAACATAACTTCTCTTGGCTCACAGCTCTCATTTCTGTTCAATGCCAGTCCCCAGACTACTCACTGGCTTGTGAGTCATTCACCCAACACCCATTTATTGAGGGGCGTCTGTGTGCGCAGCATGGACACAAGGCTCTACAGGGAACCATCTCAACAACAAAGACATTAATAACAATAATAATACTTACCACTTACCTATTGTCTACTACAGACTTAGTGAAAATGCCTTATTCCATACTAAACTTCAAGTTTCTTGAAGCCAAGGCTGTGTGTTACGTGCGTTTCTATCCCCCACAGAGTTTTGCACATACTTTAGAACTGACGTGGTGGCAGGGACTGTGGAATCATCCTGTCCAGTGTTGCAAATGTAGATACCCCCAGGGTCCAGTGGGACATAAACCTGCAAATCAGGCTGGGGTGGCTGATTAAGAATAGTGAAGTGTGCAGGAACCAAAAATCCAAGCTCATCCGTAGATGTTCACATACAATTGCCAGCATTGATTGTGCTGGTCAAATTAACAGCTAGAGGTCTGGGTTTAATAACTTTCTCTTCCTTTTAGGAGTGGAAACAAAACTTATCAGGGTAGGCCTGATCTGACCTAATTCCTAACTAATGCTCGAACTTCAGACTCTCCATCACTCCCCTCCTCCCTCTCTGCTCTCTAGATACCCACCTTCAGTTGCTACAAAACTCCCTGCCACCTGGCTATCTCATGCCTTTGTCACTTTTTTCTTCCAAACAGCCACCACCCTTCACACCACCTTGTCGATTCCCATTTACTCTCCAAGTCTCATCTCAAATGCCTTTTCCCCATGTCAGTCTTCTCTGACCCCAGGACTAAACCCATCACATGCTCTTGAAGCACCTGGTTCTCTTCATTTGTGGCTTTTATCACAATCATTTTTAAACAACATACTGGGTAAGAAATTGTTTAATATGTGTCTCTCAAGCTAGACCAGGAACTCTATGCAGACAGAACTCATATCTATCCTAATCATTGCTATACCTCTAGAGCCCAGAAAAATATCTGCTACCTTATAAAATAGGATAGGTAGGTGGATATAGGATAGGTTCTTATATAGGTGTGTGGCTACAGAAGACGATAAACTGAAAGAAAATCTCAGTCTCCTCCATAAAGGAAAGATGAACGCACCTGCTAAAAGTAATTTGGTGTATTTGACCCCCCTCCACTGGTGAACAGAGAACGACATTTATCAGATGTAGCTGGAAATGACAACATTGCCCTGAACTGGGCAGAGGAGCAAATTTCCTGGAGAAGCCCCCTTTACATTACAATCTCGCCTGCTGATGATTTCATTTACTCCTCCCACAGGGCTTTGAAGAAATCCGGAGCTCTCTGGAAGGATGCTTACTACGAAACATGATTCACGCGTGCAATTGCATCTCTGAAGGGGGTTGGTGGATGTGCAAGAGCCCTTCCCTGCTTAACTGGGAATTAATTAGCACCACTGGCACATCTGAGTGTGCTAGGAATGTGAATCCCAAGGACACCTGATGACCCCTTCCCTGAAGGTCTCCTCTGCAAATAAGAAGGCAGGAAACACAAGATGACATTGGCCAGGGTGACAAAAAGGAAGTGGGAGTCCAATGTTTTTATTTGTTCATTAGGATTTTAAACAAGGTGTTTGTTGTTTAGGGATTCATCAACATGTAGAAATGCTATAAGGGAATAGCAAACGCAAAATTGAGGATCACGTGGGAAAAAGGGTTCTAGGTAAGAACAAAAATTTACCAGTGGAGTAAATTTTAGTTTGCTTAGTGGGTTGCTAGTGAATAAAAAGCATCATTTTTCTGAATTCACCAGCTCAACTGATTTTTTTCACTCACCCTTTGGTGACTGGTATTTGCACTGGTGAGGCAATGACTGTATTTCTATTGCTCGTTCAACACCCTTCCCAGAGGAGGAGAACCAAAGACTGTTGCTTTCACGGCTTCCCAGATTGCTGAGCACTGAGTTAGAATTTGGATGACCTTTCCTGCAGGTCATCTTATCTTTGTCCTTCGTGCTGCAGAGCTCACCTCTATGGGTAGATGAATGAAGGTGGCTTAATCAACCAGTCTCTTGTTTTTTACACTACATGACTTCCAAGAGTTATGTCATAGCCCTACCCAAAACTCTCCAGTGGATTCCCATGGCTCTTGGTATAAAGATCAAACCCTGTGACTGCCCCACCTGGTACCACTCTGGCCTTGTTCCCTCTGCTTCAGCCCACGGGCTGTCTTTAAGTCTTCATGTTCCCTTCTGCCACAGGGCCTTTGCTCCTGATCCCAGTGTCTGAACCACTTTGTCACCCTCCCTGCCCTCATTCCCTCTCACCTGGCCATGCTGCCACTCACCTTCAGATCTTAGCTCCCTTATCACGTCTCAGCATAGCTTGACCCACCATCCCAGGGACACTGCCCTACCGAGTCACGGCCTACTGTGGTGTGATCTGTAGCAAGCACCACAGGTATAATTTTACATTCATTAGTATAATTTCTTAATTTGTTTGTCTTCCCCTGTAGCCTGCAATATCCATGACAGCAGGAACTTCCTGACATGTTGTAGACACTCAGTGAAGATGCACTCAAGGCAGGAAGGGGGAAATGCATGGATGGAAGCCAATCCTAAGGGGCTACAACCTAAAGTCCTCCTTTCCCTCTCTCATGGAAATCCAGCACCAGGAAGTTTCTCCTGACAATTAGAAAACCATTTAAAGTTTTCTTATCACGAGAATTTTCTGATTATAAAAATATATTATGTAACTCTTTCCAGTTAGGTAGAAAGATAAGTTTTATCAAATATAGAAGAAGCGCTTCTATATTCTAAGTATGATCTTTTTTGTTGTATTGTAGTAAGAACACTTCATGAGAGCTACCCTTTTAACATATATTTAAGTGTACAAGACAGTATTGTTTTCCATAGGTGCAGTCTTGCAAAGCAAATCTTAGAACTTATTCATCTTGCGTAACTGAAATTTTATACCTGTTGACTAGCAACTCTTATTTTTTTCTTCCTCCAGCCCCTGGCAACTACCATTCTATTCTTTGCTTCTATGAATTTTTCTATTTTAGATACTTTATATAAGTAGAATCATGCAGTGTTTGTTCTTCTGTGACTGACTTCTTTACTTCACATAATGTTTTTGAGGTTAATTTATGTTATTGCATATTGCAGGATTTCCTTCTTTAGGGGTAAATAATATTTCATAGTATGTATATACCACATTTTTTATCCATTTATCCACTGATGGACATTTGGGTTATTTCCACATCTTGGCTATTGTGAATATTGCTTCAATGAACGTGGAAGTGCTAAGTCTTTGAGATTCTGATTTCAAGTTTTTTTTAATACATACCCAGAACCAGGATTGCTAAGTAAAATCTTACCAATACTATAACCATGTACTATTATTAAGTTCTGAGCTACACCCTTCATGGACATTATTCCATTTAATCCTCATAACAGGCCCATCGGGCAAGTGCTATAAATGACCTCATTTTATAAATGAAACCTTTAGGTTTAGGAGGGCTGAGCAATTTTCCTGATGTCACAGGTTGGAACTGGTGGACTAGAGTTTCAGACCCAGGAATATCTGACTTCACAGTCAAAGCTCTTTAATTCCCATGCCAGGGAATCCAAACTAAAGGAGAATTAAGTGGCAGGAATTCAACCCAGGTGAATTTCGTCTTCTCTATGGCCTTCATTGTATGGCTTTCCCTGATTCCCTATTTCTTCTAAAGTTTTACTCTTACTGGCAAAATTAGGCAATGAGAATTTGCCTGCGTTTTCAGCCGGGCATTAAATAAGGGTGACTGGATTAGAAGTCAGGAACCTAAACTCTAATTTCAGCTTGTTAATTTAGTGCCCTAAAATGAACTTGGCCAGGTCACTTACACACTTCATACCTGAATCCCCACCTTTGTACAGGGCCAGGGCATAATATTACCTGGTCTCTGTGCATCATTCCATGCTGTGACAGTGAAATGAAGTAAGGCAAATGGAATGATTTTATAAGCAGGAAACACCCATTCAGATTCTAATTATTGTCATTATTACTGTAATGAGATTTCCTCCCCTGGTAGAGCCACCAAAAGCAAAAAAAGGCCACGGAATGACCCAGAGCCACAGAATGGGCACCTTTCCTCAGATGAGAGGCTCATGAGTCACAAATGAAAAGACTGATTTCTCCTCTTGCAACAAGTAACACCCATGGATCACATTCCACTTCTGACTGTCCTTAATGCCCTGGGACCAGCACCCAGCCCTCGGGCTGGGGAGGAAGGTAGAAAGCCAAGGTTCTAGCGTCCAAACTCCTGGCTGACCATGGGAGGGTGCAATTCTTACTGTTGGAAATCTTACTAATGGTGTACAACGTAAGTATGCCATTTTTTGCTTAATCAGTGTCTAATAATGGAATCTCTTAAGAGCTTCCTCGTTAGTCATCCACCCTCCTATTATAACCCTAAAAGTGCAGAAAGTATAGGAGATTGAACTTAAATTCTGTAGAAGGCAGGGAAACACTCAGGTACTTTTTCTTTCCCAGCATTATTTATGAAACAGACAACAACGTTTACAGAATTTTAACAGTGTCCATCCCCCAGATGGTGCGCACCACACCCATTAGGTGTGAATGTCCCCATCCCCTCCTCCCCACTCCCATCTGCCTGACACTCACTGAATGTTACTAATATATGTGCATTTAAGTGTTGATCAGTTAATACCAATTTGATTGTGAGGACATGAGGTGCTTGTTTTTCCATTCTTGTGAAAAAAAATAATAAAAAATAAATTAAAAATTTACAGTGAACATCAATATAGCAATCACTTGAGTTCAACATTAACATTTTAATAAATTTGCTTTTTCTCATATATATTTATCTATCCATCTTTCAATGTATCCATTAATCCACTTCATTTTTTTATGCAATGTAAGTTTCCTGGGCTTATTTTGAAAATTAAAACTCAGATTATGCAGACAACAAAGACTATTTGTCCTCTTCAATAAGGAATTGGTAAAAATTGTGTGTGGCAACTTCATCTCTAAGGGAATATAACGTAGTTACCATTTCTGCAAAATTAACTATTAACTGAAAATAGAATAAAGCTTTTCTCACATATATATCTTGCTTTAATTTTCATTTATTCATGGAGCCTTTATGTTCATGATTCCCTTTAATTTGGGAACACTTATTGAGCACTTACCATGGATCAGTCACTGGCCCAGGTGGTGTGACAAGAGGCAGAAGCCCTACCTCTAGTTTACATTCTCGTGGAGAAGGCAGTCAATAAACAAGTAAATGCAAGAAAAACCAAGATGATTATGTATAATTATGTGAGAGAGAATGGTAAGCAGGGGACTAGATTACTTAAAGGAGTCAGGAAAAGGTGAGTCTGTGAAGAATGTTGAAGGAGGTTGCCATGACAGCCTGATGAGCAGGATCATCAGAGGCAAGTGCAAAGGCCCCAAGGCAGACACAAACTGTTCAAAGAACAGAGCAGGAGACTTGTGTGACTGTGGAATAGTGTGCAAGGTTGTTTCCTCACTATCCCGCTTAAACTTCATTTCTTCATGATTGATTATAGTTTGCTCTGCCTTTCAGACAGCATTCAAAATATTCTTCTGTTATTTACACAAGCATAGTTTTCTTTAGGGAGTCTTCCTAGACTTAAATTACCAGGTTAATTCTCCCTTCATAAGCTCCTGTGCCCTGTGCACCTCACTGACAAAACTGATCTCTGTCTGTGCCAACCACTAGACTGAAAACTCCCTGAGGGCAGTGACTGTGTATGCTGTTTTTCATCAATTTGTCACCAGCCCCAGTCACTGTTTGGCATAAAATGGGTGTTCAATAAATGTTTTAATAATTAGTTATTTATTTAGAGCAATGGTAGAAAAGCCTGAAAAGTTAAATTGGGTTTATATTGAAAAAAGATCATCTAAAATGTTAAGCTGGAAAGTATATGCTTGATTTCATGACCACATGGGTCCACAGAGAAGAATGTGAAGGAAATTGTCATGAGATTCAGAGGGGCAGGATCACGGGAGGAAAGTGCAAAGGCTTTTGAGCTAGGGAGTGGAGCAACTGGAATCAGACTCCAGAAACACCCATCATAAAACCACACAAAGGAAACAGTGGAAGAGGGAGTAGCATGGAGGTGGGGAGACCAGCTAAGTGGCTATTGCAACAAGTTGGGTGAGAGATGATGAGAGCCTGAGTCTCACTGGTAGTACAAATATGAAATGTAAAGGAATAAATAGAGACACATCATGGAGGCTGGAACATGATAAGGAATTAAACATCTGGGGAACCTAAAGACATCCCAGAGTTTGGACTGTGGGTGCTGAAAATGTAGAGGAGGAGGAAAAGTAGAAGATGGAAC